GTAAACTATTTTTAGCTACTCAACTGAATTTGGTTCACATGCTATGGCTTGTGGGCTTTTTAAATAGATGAATACGGAGGATTTTCAGGGAGTCAAGAGGAAGCAGCATGTTTCTGGCTAAGAGGAGGGAAGGAGGCTTGGAAATCTCTAGGGGATGGAGGTGGGGAGGATATTGTTCTGGAATGAAGAAGAGTGAGAGAAAGCTGGCATTCAGGATACAGCACTCAGGAAGCTCTTCCATACATTATGACCATGTACATGCTATTCTTAAATATCCCAATTCTCATTCCCCTTCAAAACTCCGCTTGTGCCAACGAACATCTCTACAAGGAGGTCCCAGCCTCCCAGCAAAGTGCTAATTACATTGCCTGAGTACCTCCCCCCAGAGCTGTTGAATGCCTAATGGGGCACTGGTTCTCAGTTATGTGCTCCTCAGCGCTTTTCATACTTTAGCACACTTCAGGACAATTTGATGTTGCTTATTCCTACAAATTTGTGTGGCTTTAAGTCAAGCCTGTCTCTAAAGGATGGCAAATAACTGACTCCTTTAAGGGGACAGGCCTGCATTTTCTGCATTTCTCACTTATTTGCCCTGAGATAACTGTTTTCTCTATTCTGGCTCTGAGCCACTAAATACATAAACAAACAACCAAATAAATAAATAAATAAATAAATAAATAAATAACATACGACTTTTATTCCACCTTTTAATGGAAAAGTCTTATCTGCATTCATAGCAATAGCTGTGGATGGTTTCCTTGCTCGGATATGTTTGAGCAGAACCAGAGACCCAAGAGGCTGAGCCTGGAAAGGCTCATGTCCCTACCTGATCTTCAGTGGGAGCAGCGACCATGTCGGGCCACAGAGGTTTCCATCCATCCTCTCCTTAAAACCATCCTGAGAGAGAGCTATTTCATAACCCCCTTCCAGAACCATCCTCAAACATAACCCACGTTACACTGTATTTTAAATATACGTATCTCTCACTAGATGTCTGCTTTGCTGGGCTGTGGTGCTCAGCACACAGCAGAAGCATTGGAGGCACGTGAAGAGTGGATGAAATGAATGCTGAGGATCTGTTACAAGTGTCCCATGAAGTGGCTGGTGCGAGTCTCAGTATACTCCCTGACGCCTTCGAAAAGAACTTGAAGGTTTTTAAAATGAGTATTTCCAACCTCCCCTCAAAAAGAGAGCTGCTTTTTGCCTAGCCTCATTCCTGGAACTTCATCCATCACATAATTCTTTTCAAATATTATCTTTTGTCAGGTTAACATATTTGTTTCTTTCTGCAAAGACCCTCCTTTATAGTGGACGTGAATCTAGCCACTTAGACATGATTAGCAAGCGAAGGGTCTTACTTATTAAAAACAGTTAATTTTCCCTTCTTGAAAAAATGGAGCTATTTGAATCCCTGAATATACTCATTTATCACCAACCCCCAACGAGGCATCCAGGAGTTCTCCGTGTAGGACATGAATAATTTTTATAAAAACGCAGTTGCTGACTGTGTCGTACATCCACGCAGCTTTATAAAACAAAGCAAATGATTACCATCAATTACAATAACCTCACCAGACAAGACTGCAATTAATCTACAGCTCTTGAGATAACGACTGTTGCACTGTGCCAAGGAAAATGCCTGGCATTAATTGACTTATCACGATCAGCAATGATGGATGGGACAGATGGCAATGTGATTATTCATTGTCAACAAAATAAACACGCGCTCTGTTGCTAGAAGTGTCTACTTAGGTCCTTTCAGAGGATAGCCAAACACAGAGACCAAAGGTGGTTTTGAAGAGAGCACAAAATAAAAATAAGATGTTAACCTACAGGATGGGCTACAACTACTTTAACTGGGGCTTAACACTCAGTGGAATATGGTTGGAAGACATTTTCTATAAGGAAATTGTGGATTGCATGGGATTTCAGCACGAGAAGGTGCATTACTTGCTCATTAAGATATGAGTCACCTTTATGAAGTCCTCAAATTCCATTCCATGCTTAATAATTCCAGTGATGAGAATTCACTATTTTCAGAGGCAAGCTCATTCCATTGATGGATAGCTGTCTTTGTTAGAATATATATTTATTTACAGCTGAACTCCATTTTTCCAGGACTTCCATCCATGGACCCTCATATCAGAGAAGGTGCCAAACTTTTCTCATTAACTAAACTCTTTTAAATATCTCAAAGGCCAATATCTACCCACATGACCCTGTTTTGGTGCTTCCAACATTCTGATTCCTTGCATCTAAACCCATACCAGTTTAGAGACCGTTCATACTGAGGGGCTTGGAAAGAAATGACCACAGCTGATGTGGTCTGCCCAAGACAAGGTGTAATGATACTTACGCTGAAGCTAATGCTCTAACTTGTCTTGGAGCAGTGGCTGTGTGTGGCTGTCCTTCTTGGGAAGCTGTTCTCCAAATTTCATCAGTCTAGACAGCATTTGCATTTGCACTGACACCTGGGTGCCCTTTTTAATTTTTGTGCAATACGGTTTAATTGATTAAGTTCTCATTGTTTAGAAAGCTGGGATAATTCAGGCAGAGCCTGAGCTAAAACTGACTGGCTCAGTGGTCACTAACCAAAATCTCTTGGGGGGGATTTTTACAAATGTGTGTACTTGGACCCCACTCCTGGAGACCCCAATTCGAGTGTTTTAGGGAAGGATGCAAATGTAAATATTTTGACAATAGTCCCCAGTTAATTCTGACTTGCAACTCTGTTTAGATGCTTTATTCATTGAGAACACTTAATAATGTACTACTGAGTGAGTGCTTCACAAACCTAATCATCAGACTCTCCTGGGAGCTTTAAAAATGCATATTCCTTGGAGTGCCTGATACCTGTGGTCTGGGTACATCTAGGAAAATTAATACTTTGAAAGATCACATTGTTATATGTATCCCTTAAGGATTTTGGAGACACTCATTTACTTCAAAATTGTAGTTCCTATACAAATTACAAAGCACTTTTATCACACATTGAAGGAAAAGGCAGTTCTAAGGAATTCTACAGAGTGAAGATTCCAGCCAAGTAACCATCCACATTTTTTCACCCATTCATTTAATAAATTCATTAATAAATTAATTTAGTCTGAGGCAACATTATGATAAGGATCAGAATATAACAGTTCAGTGAGGGAGAAAAGCAAAGAAATAAAAGCAAATAAATAAGCAAGTAAACCAACAAATAAAATAGTTACAAATACTGAAATAATATGTATTTAAAAAGGAAGTGTTTATCTAATTTAGAATATTCCCTAGTTCAGAGTGACAGTCTCCAGTCACTCTCACTGCATGGATTTTCTCCCTGCTTTCACCATATTCCCTACTATACTCCAACTCAGAATCTGCAACTTTAGGGAGTTTTTTTTTTTTTTTTTTCCATTAGGGTGCCTTTGGCAGACATCCCTAATCAATCCTAGCATTTTTTTCCTATGGATCCAGAAAGGAGGCTCATTCCTGCTCAACCTTGTCCTCCATGCAGCCATTATGAATAGAGGATGATGAACTCCACCCACCCCTTCCCCAATACACACAAGACCCTGACACAACTTGGTGACTTTGTTGTCCTTCATTTCTTGCTTTATCTTTGTTGTCTATCAATTCTTGAGTACTCCAAGTGTTCCTTACATCTGAAATCCCACTTAATTTTCAAAATAACCTTGTGTTGCATTTAAACTCAGCCTTAGAAGGATCAAGAAACCATCTCAAGATCATACAATAAATGAATATCATAGCAGGAGGTACAAACTCAGGTACTTTGACTTCAGAGCTGATGTTCTTACAAAGTATTTGGCACTGCCTTTCTTTCTTAGCCCAGTTCAAAGGGCCCCACCTCTGGGACACTTCTCCTGATCCCTTCAGGTAAAATCTGTCACTTCTTCCTGTGAGTTGGCCAGCATCTTCGTACATCTTCATAACAGAATGGCTATACTTTATTGCTTTGAATATAGTACTCTTTGAACTCCTCTGTGGGAGGAGCTTTGTCTTTTTGTTTTGTTTTGTTTTCTTTTAAATCTTTGTATCCCTAGTACCTAGCAAAGAGCCTAGGTAGATTCTCAGTTGGTACTTTGAAACAATCCTTAAAATCTGGCCACTGGACTCATTAAGGTCGGGCTCTCTTTCTCAGTATAGGGCTTTACTATATTAAAAACAGCGTTAGGTTTAAACATAATGTTGACTGAAGAGAAATGAAAAAGACCAAGTCAATAATGAGATCATACTTCTGTTATTTCAAAGCTTTCTTGACATCAGTTACTGAAGATTTTTAAACAGAAACCGGATATTTAGCATAGAAGCCTCCCTGACTCCTAGCTGATAACCACCCTCAGGTGTAAGAGGACAAATTAACTATACCATGCTTGTCAAGTGTCAGAACCCAGATGACACCTGTTTAAACTGTGGCTCTCATTCTATAATGGAAACTGGTTTGGCTCACTGCTGTGGCTTGAGCTCAATCTGGATTGATGGTGGCACACAGTGATACTCACCATTGATGGTGACATACAATGACATTTCCATTCTGTAGGAAGTCAGGCAGACTATTTACCTGCCTGACATTTATTTCACAGTGAGCTATAGTTTTGTGCAAATAAGACCCATTCTACCCGAAGGGGTAGACCTATACTCTCATATGGGAGGCTGATGGTCCAGACAAGGTATCAGAGAAAGTGTGCATGAAAGGTGAGGGCTTGGGATTAAAATAATGCTCCAGAGATACTGGAAGGCATGAGTCACGAGAGCTGCCAATATCTCAGAGGGCAATACCCAGTCCCACTTTCATTGTGGCCTTCCCTCGAAAACAGCGGAAGCACATTTATAGACTTCCACGTCAACTTGCAAAAAACAGATGGAGAAAGGAGGCACTGACCTTCTCATTTCACAGATTTAAAAGAAAGATTTCCATCTGTTATCTCACCTTGGGTATAAATAGGCACCAAGTCTTATTAATTGGCACTCAACTTTAGTACCTCAATAGTTCTGCATACCTCCCCAGAGAAGGCTTGTCCGTTGAGGAGGTGCTCCGAACCCTGGCTGTCCTCACTCCCAAAGTGTAGTCGGATCTCCTCCAGCCGGTGGCTGTATGTCATGGGCCCTCCTGATATGTTGACCAAGTGCTCCTTGTCTAGGCGCAGGGACACGTGTCTTCCAGTGTTGTACATGGTCCCACTGACCTGTAAGGCAACGCACAATGGGTCAAGCAAGGCTCTTCTTTCCATTTCTCACCAAACCCAGCAGTGCTGAGACCAATGCCTTTTGCTTCCTCTGGATGGGAACTATTAGGCTGAGTCTACATACAGAGTAGAGTAGCAATACCCCGAGGGCATTCCTGTCCTACTTGGCTTAACCGCATTTATGAACACATGATCATTTAGCAATTTGAGGTAGGAATTCAAAGGAGACCTCAGAAACTGTGACTAATATTTTGGACATTGTACCATTGTATAAAAGATAATTTGTCCCTCTCAACAACAGGTGTTGGCAAGGATGTGGAGAAAAAGGAACCCTCGTGCACTGTCCGTGGGAATGCAAAGTGGCACAGTCATTCTGCAAAACAGTATGGAGGTTCCTCAAAAAGTTAAAAAAAGAATTACCCTTCGATCCAGCAATCACACTACTGGATATTTACCCAGAGGATACAAGGATGCTAACACAAAGGCATACATGCAACCCTATGTCTATAGCAGCATTATTTGCAAGAGCCAAACTATGGAAGCAGCCCAAGTATCCATTGATAGATAAATGGGTAAAGAAGATGTGGTGCGTATATATACAATGGAATATTTACCAGCCATAAAAAAGTATGGAATCTTGACATTTGCAACAACATAGATGGAGCTAGAGAATATAAGGCTAAGCAAAATGAATCAATCAGAGAAAGTCAAATACCATATGATTTCACTCATATGTGGAATTTAAGAAGTAAAACAAATGAGCAAAGGAAGAAAAGAGAGAGACAAATCATGAAATAGACTCTTAACTCTAGAGAACAAACTAATGGTTACTGGAGGGGCAGTGGGTGGGTGGGTGGGGTAGGGGGAACAGGCGATAGGGATGAAGGAGCATGCTTGTCATGATGAGCACTAGGTGACATATGGAAGTGTTTAATCACTATAGTGTACACCTGAACTAATATTACAGTGTATGCTAACTGAAATTTAAATAACAACTTAAAAAATAACTTGCCCCTATTACCATAGGGGATGTTGAGATACTGCAAAATTAAAATCTCAGGTATGAGAAACTGGAGAAAGCAAGAGATGCCACAAAAGCCAAATGAGAGACAAGGAATCCAAAATGGGTGAAGAGGAGCAGATCCTCATGAGAGACTGAAGGCTCTGGTCTGAAGTCCCAAGTGTGCAGTTCAGTGTGTCTTTGTTAGGTCCCTCTCTTGCGCCTGCCACTAGACTTTGCATAAAGCGTGAGCTGTGATCCCTTCTCAGAGCTCATGGACTCAGTGCTAAGCTAAAGAGATGAATACAAGTTGCCTATGTTTCTTCCTCACTCCTGATTCCATCTTGCACCAGCCTCTCAAATCGCTGACCTTACTGCTTGGTATTCCTTTTTCTTCTTTTCTCTTTGAACTTGATATTCAGCTTCATTTTCTTGACTTAGCACCTCTCAACACTTGATCCTAGAACTCTGATTCCTACCTGTGACTCTACTGCCTTAGTCTTCTGGGTTCACTTAGCTTTTGGGGGCAGAACAAAAGCTTAAAGGAGACTTTGAATGGGTCTGAATGGAATGCTCTGGGCTCTCAGAGGCTGAGATGATTGGATTTTCTTTCTGCTTATTCTGACTCCTTTGGTCCCAGCTGTCTGCCCTAGAGATTCCTTAAGGGCTTCATGTAACATCTGATACCTTTAATTAGTCACGGTTTCATACGTTTTCTCTATAGCACTACCCTTACCTGCCCCTCTACTTTTCTGACACTAGCCTTGTGAATAATCAAATAGGTCTGTAGATGGCTTACTGTGGCAGACAGTAATGCCCACTAATATTCAACTAACTTATTATTCTGCCATTTTGCTGTAAGGTGGAGCCCATGTGACTGATGTTGGCCATGGGATGTGAGGGGACATGACAGGTGTCACTTCCAGGGTGAAACAGTGAAAAACGTATGCACAAGTCTCCAGTCTCTCTCTCCCCTTGAGACATCAATCACTGGGGCTACGTGGAAAAATGTAAATGTGTTGCAGCTACAAGATGGAGTTCATGTCAGCCTGGGTGTTTGGCAGAGTAAAGGGCAGATTGCAAAAGTGGCCAGAATTCTTCCCCACCCTGTAAGTGCATTTTTTACAACATGCCCCTGTAGCTGCTCCCATCAAGATAAGGGGTCTGCTTCTCTACCTCTGACTCTGGGCTGGCTTTGTCACTTGCTTTGGCCAATAGGGAACACAGCACTTGTGCTCTGAGAGTAGGCTTTTAGAGGCCTTGCTTATTTCCTCACTCCTTCTTGGAGACCTGAGACCACCATGTCAGTGAACCTGGGCTAGCCTGCCGAGGGATGACATCACACTGAAGAGCATCATCCCAGGAGAAGCCATCTCAGATTGATCATTCCCTGTCTGACCCGCCAGCTGACTGGCCCAGCCGAGGTCAGCTTAGCCTGGCCTAGACCAGAAGAACTGCCCACAGACCCATGACTTGGGAGCTAAATAATTGGTGTTTCAAGTCCCTAAGTTTTGGAGGTTGTTATGGGGCAAAAGCTAAGTCATTCATCTTACCCCTCCTGAATCTGGTATCAATTCTTTTGAGTGTCTGGCAGTATTGAATACCTGAACTGTAAAGTCACGTGGGGCCCAGAGACTCAGCCTGCTGGGTAGCTGGAAGTCAGACCAGAGAGAGAGAAGAGAGAAGGAGATGTGCCAACAGTGATGGAGGAAACTGTGCATTGAGAGAGAGAACGGCCACTTGACCTTCAGAAACCTTCACGTCTCTTTGTTCACAGTTCCTCCATGAAGCCTGAGCTGCATTCTCTCAGATGCTTTACCTCTCATCAATAAATCCATTTTTTTCTCAAGTTATCTATTCTTTGTCACCAGATAACCCCACAGTGTTCACTCTTATTCTCCAGTCTCTAATAAATACATATATAGTCAGTATGAGATCATGAGAGCTTGTTTTTTTCTTTTCACGTCCCAACTCATGATTTTCTTTGCAGTAAAATGGTTAAAGATAGATTTGTGTTTGACATTGCATCCACTGTTAAGTAAATTTTACTTTTTCTAATTGTTAAGATAATATACAGGTATTCTATATGGTTAAAAAAATAAAAATAAAATAAAACAAAAATAAAACAAATATGACACAGAAAACAAAAAGAAAGATATAGAATGACTCAAGGCAATAAAAATAAGTCACAAGGGGATCCCTGGATGGCTCAGCGGTTTTGGCGCCTGCCTTTGGCCCAGGGCATGGTCCTGGAGTCCTGGGATCGAGTCCCACATTAGGCTCCCCGTATGGAGCCTGCTTCTCCCTCTGCCTGTGTCTCTGCCTCTCTCTCTCTGTATCTCTCATGAATAAATAAAGTCTCTAAAAAAAATAAGTCACAATTCCACAATTACCCAAGGATCATCACTAATACTTTGGTATATATATTCTTAAGATTATATATACTATAACACATATATATAATTCTATATACCCATATTTTAACAAGCTCATTTTATATATGTGTCTGTATAATCAGATAGGTGATTTTTCACACACATATATATATGAGTTTGTGTATATAAATATATACTATTATATATAACATTAACTGTAACATTATATATTAATAATATTATATATTAATATATCAATTATATTAATTGTAATTATATTAATATATAATATACTATAATATAGTATAATAGATGAATGTCATACTATTTAACATAATAATAAATATTACATAATTATTATGTACTATATATTTATTATACACAACTAATTATATATTACATATGCAAACACAATATTGTTATTTATATGTTTACATAAATATCACATATGATTATATATTATATAAATCTACATATATAATTTTCACAAACATGAATATTTCTGGGTCATTAAACTATTCTGTAATATTACTTTGAAATGGTTGCATAATCAGTATAAAAAAAGTACATAGCTTGTTGAATATTTACATCCCTTTCACTTTTTCACTATTCCAAAAATGTACTGCAATGAGTATCCTATGGATAAATAGTTTTACTACTCCAGGGATCTTTCACTGGGCAAATTCTGTGTCAAATGGTATACACATTGTTAGAGTGCTTATTGTCCATTGCCACATCCATCTACTGTAGAGAGTAGATCCCAAAGAGCAGAGCTGGATCTCTGTAATTCTCTTCAAATGATATGAAAAATAGTACCATGAGATTCAACCAGTAACATCCATGGGCACCTATGGTATGTGAGGCAGTGTAAAAGGAACTGCTCTGAATTATTTTTTTCCTAAAGATTTAATTTATCTATTTGAGAGACAGCATGCATGAGGGGGGTGGGGCAGAAAGAGAGGGAGCAGACTCCCTACTCAGCAGGGAGCACAACCTGGGGCTCGATCCCAGGACCCCAGATCATTACCTGAGCTGAAGGCAGATGCTTAACAGACTGAGCCACCCAGGTGTCCCACTGCTCTGAATTCTTAGAGGATATATGCTCTGTCCCCATCAGGCAAGTATCTGGGACTTTCCTGCACTTCTAGAAATCTTTCCATCTGTGCTGTCTAATGTCTAATGTTCCTAAGAAAATTGTTGCACATTGGCAGGGACCATGTGGTACGCTTTCTGCATTTCCCCAGGACTTAAAAAAAAAACATCCTGGCACACAGCAGGTGGAAGAATCAAGGATTCTTGAGTCGAATGATTCCCAATGTGCCTCTTGATGACCATAGGTGCTTTGGTTAATTTTTCCTGAAGCCTCAGTTTCCCTAAACATAATGTAGAGATAAGAAAATATCCCCTATGAAAACGGAGGAAAGAAAACTCTAAGGCATATAGAGAACAAATGTCAAAATGATAGAACAAATCTTCCTTATCAGTAATTACTTTAAATGTAAATAGATTCTACTTATAGGAGGTACCTAGAGTGGTCAGAGTCATAGAGAGAGAAAGTGGGAATGGTTTTCAGGAGCTTCAGGAAGAGGAACAGGGAGTTATTAATGGGAACAGAGTTTCAGTTT